TGAGTAGTGAGTTTAAAAAAACACTTACCTAAGGTAATTTCCCTAATTCAGTGAAAGGTAATAGATACAACAGATACAAAACTGATGTTCCAAGAATCGATTTTCAGTGCCAACTAGGTGTAGGATTCTGATGAACAAGCTTTTTGCGGTATTTCTATCTGGCATCACTTCCAAGAAATAATGTGTGCATCAGTACAAAAACCTCTAGGAATGCTTATGCTCAAAACATAAGGGAGCTTTGCTTTGGTATCTTTTAACACTTGTGCAGAATACAGGATGTTTCAATAGGAGCTCCTTACTGTTTTATGCTGCAGGAGGTAGTAAAGTCTTATTGCCAAAATTATTTCTTATATGGTAGCAGTCCTCTTTTGCCGAATATTCCAACTGCATGCTGAAAGACTAGCTATAATGTCTCTATGCAATGGGTGACAATGGCAACAAGCTGAAAGAATAGAGGAGCAAGTATGTGTCTTGGATAAATGAGCTCATGGATAAAACTGACCATTTTTATCTCCTTTTGCTGAAGCTTGGATATTTATGGAAGGTCATAACAATTATATTTACAATAGCCTGCCAATTAAGGAATCTATGTATTAGGCATGCTTCAGTCTGAGTCTACCTTCTTCAGCACTTGAAAAGTAAAGCAAATACTTGGTCGTGGATATCATTATTACTCAATCAGAGGTACACAATTGTAAATAAGAAAAGAAGCTGGCAAAAATAAAAACTACAGAAAGACAAGAAACAAAATTTCTTTTTTAAAATGCTAGGTATTTTCTCCCTCCTTGCAAATGAATTAATATTCCCATGTTGGTCTTTTCTATTCCTCCTAAAAGTAAGGGATAAGTAAACTAGAACCAAATGTTAATTTTAGTGATCACCTTGTTCATCTTTGAAAATTTGTTCCAATGCCAATTAAATTTTGAAAATTTAATTGGCATTGGAACAAATTTAGTTTATCAACCATATATACTTCTAGAAGTAAGCAACAAACTGAGAACTAGGACAAAACATTAAATTTAGTGATCACCTTGCTTATCTTTGCAAACTTGCTCCAATACAATAAAAGTTTGAAAATCAAAGAAAGAACCATTTCAATTTACTTTATCAACCTCTTTATTACCTCAAGGAGCATACCTCTTTATTACCTCAAGGAGCACATTTGAGAAAATACATTTTCCTACTGGAAAAATCCACATTTTAAAATGAATGTTCAAAAGGTTACAATAATTTTGGAAATCTCTAATGCTTAGTTGTGCTTGAATGTACGTTTTAAACAGATGCGTCTCACAGCTATTTAGCTTTGAGGAAATATTTGGTCTTAATTGATAAATACTGTAGCACGAGACCACAACCTAGAAATGAATATTTGCTAATTTAGGTAAATTCCATATTAGAGTTTCACTATTATACTTCTTAGAGACCTGTTTTTTGTTATCCCCAAAAGCCAAAATTCCAGAATCCTTTGCAAAACTATACAGGTAGTCCTTGACTTACAACTACAGTACAATTGAGCTCAAACTTTCGCAAAGTGAGACATTTGTTAAGTGAATTTTGCCCCATCTTGTGATCTTTCTTGCCACATCTGTTAAGTGAATCACTGCAGTTAAGTTAGTAAAAACAGTTGTTAAGAGAATCTGGCTTCCTCATTGACTTTGCTTGTCAGGTCACAAAAGGTGATCACATGAACTGTGACACTGCAACCATCATAAAACACATGGCATTTGCCAAAAGCCTGAATTTTGATCACGTGATCACAGGGATGCTTCAACACAAATGTGAAAAATGGTCATAAGTCACTTTTTTTCAAAGCCATTGTAACTTCAAATGGTTACTAAACAAACTGTTGTAAGTCGAGGACTGCTTGTACTGATTAAATGGGGATGATTTCCCCTTCCCATGATTAGGACCAGGCATTTTGCAATTACCAATGGTAGAAAAGGAACCTATAAGCATGCGGTTATCAATAGGTAGAGACTGGGTCCATGAATGGTACTCCTTCTCCTCCGTGCATGCACAGGTCCACAGACTTAAAACATCAGAAAAGGCCTTTTGATGATTCTCTGGCTTCAAAAATAAAGTTAATCCCATCTATTATGAGTCCCACATATTTCAATACAATGTAAGCATGATTAACTTCTTAACTGAGCTTTAATGAGGAAACTGATTTTAAGTAACTAGAATGTCCTATTCAAGCTTCCAGTCAGCAATATTTATAAGTTGCATTTAATGCAGTTAATAGGAATCTTGTGTGCAAAGAAAAAAAATGAGGTCTCAATTCAATTAGTTGGCAAGAACAGTAAATAAATCAATACTGTTTAAGTTTTTTTTACATCTAAGCAAGGCCTGGAATTTAGACACATAAATCTAAAGGGGGAATTATTCTCATTTCTGTCAATAACTCCAAAGGAGGAAAAAAACTTACTAGAATATAGAATCATAGGGTTGGAAAGGACCTAAAAATCTTCTAGTACAATCCTCTGCTCAAAGCAGGAGACCTGATACCACCCCAATCGAATTGTTGTCCAATCTATTTTTGAAAGCTTCCAGTGATAGAGAACCCACAGCTGCAGAAGGAAATCTGTTCCATTGGTTAATTGTTCTCACTGTAAGAAAATTTCTCCTTATATTTAGATCGGAACTCTCTTTAACAAACTTCCACCCATTATTTATTGTCCTACCCTCTGCTTTGGAGAATAAGTCATTCCCTTTTTCTCTGTGACAGTCCCTTCCAGTGCTGGAAGATAATAATCATGTTTCCCTCCTCCCCTCAAAAAAATCCTTATCTTCAATAGGCTAGACATACCTAGCTCCCTCAACCATTTATCATACGATTTAGCGTCCAGATCCTTTATCATCTTTGTTAGTATTTTAAACCAATTGGATATTTTCTTTAGCCCAAGAACTGCCTGGATCTCAAGAATGCACATCACAGGATGTGTGCCAGCATGCTAACAATGGAACTCCCCACACATCTTCCACATGCCCTGCTCAATACAGAATGTTCTTTGTCTTTCCAAGCCAGCTTCACTTGCTAGCAAAGGGGAAACCACACTTACACTTATTAGGAGTCTTGGATTTACCACCAATGTCTCCAGTGGAAGTAAAAATAATTATCAGAAGTTAGGCCTTTCTAAAAAGTTATTTAAAAGACGGACATAGGATGTGGCCATCTTGCTGAATCTATCTAAACAAGTATATGTCTCACGAATGAAGGCAATATGAAGATATTTGTCTTGTCAATGCCTGGTAAGAGATTATCTGAAAACCTCCATGAATATCCTTTGAATTCTATGATGGGGAAAAGGCAGCATACAGAATTAAATTAAATAATACAGCGTCTTGCAACATCCCCAAAACAAGAATACATGAACCTATGATGAACTCCACCAGATACATTGGCAGCTTTGCATATCAGGATAAATTATTATATACTTCTTGGTTTACTGCTTACCATGTTATATGAATCCAGACAATTGTCACATATTCAAATAACTTCATATGCTTTGTATATGCATGAGCCCAATCACTGTTAAGGATCACATCTGCATATTTGATGAAGTGGAATGCAGTCCCAAGATATTTGGTATTAAATTTGTTGTGGCTCCACATTACAGTTGCCAAATTTAGCTACAATTAATTATTATCTTTTTCCTGCTGTCTCATCATCTTATAAATGATATAAAGCTTCAGTCAAGTAAACAAATATCATCTTCCTTGGTAACACAATTTCTATCAAATACTCTTGTTATCACAGTAAAGCTTTTTTTATTGTTTGATTTTCAGCTACATTTAAGACAAACACTTGCAATGCAATCCTTTCAAAGCAAATGGAACAGAACAACATAGTCTGAATTTTTAAATTTTGACTGCTGGGCTTATTACATAGAGATAATTTATCTAATCTTCAAAAACATAGAGTAAAAATACATAATAAAGTAGGTTCCAATTGTACACACCAACAACCTAGAGGATCAGAACAGGGGTTAGAATTTCAGGTGATTTTAAATTTCTGTTAACAGTATCATACATATTTTAAAAAATCTGTAAGATCACAACATCAAATGGCTATTTTTTAAATTCCAGATTGATTAAAAAGATGAAAGGACAGGACTTTCACGTTTTTCCTACGTTCCCCAAACAGGAACGCAAGACCCTTTGCTTTTGAAAAAGACTTTAGTAGTGCAAACAATATTAAGAGACAAGCAATCCATTCCACTTCCTGTCTGTGAAGTATGATGGCTAAATAAGTCTCAATATTACAGTATCAACACTTACTGATTTAAAACAAAAATAAATAATTCTTGAACAACCATTTGCTTTCCATAAACAAGCAACCTGAAGAAGTTATGCCACAGTGTACAGTTCATTTCAGTGCAAAGGTTTACATTTCAGGACTTTCAGAATGAGATTAGCAGCTCTTTCAAGGAAAAATTGGGAATTAGCTACAGTACATGAAAAAAATGCAGACATAACACATGAAAATCAGATAGTAATGCAGAGGAAAGTTATATTTGCAAAATCAGTAAAATATTCATTCTCAATTTCTTCCTGAACTCACCCATCATTTTTAAGAACTGGATTTAAATAAGCATACCATAAAGGCCTCATTAAAAAAATCCAATCAAGTTTTATCTTTATTTCAGTTCAACAAAAATAAAATATAAAATTTTACTATGTTTGTTCACATTCACTCTTTGACATTTCTTTCTTCTACCCATTTGCTGTAATCTCAGGCAGTATTTATGTTTTAGGTCTCTTGGAATAAAGAAGCTAGAATGCTTTTATTGATAGTATATAAATCTTATTTACTGGCTAACAAGGATTGGTGAAAGTGACTCACACGATGAAAGCATCCGTATGTGTTTTTTTCAGGGGGAGAGGGAAGTAAAATTATAAACATCACATCCTACTTTTATAGGAGAAAAATGGCAAGGAATTCCATGAGAATGTAGAAGAGTATGAGGTAGCAAAAGTGAGTGCCCGTTGTGCTTCCTTACCTTGGCTGCTGGAATCAGGTAAGACAGAGTAACGCTAAGATGGGTCACATGAAGTTATCCTGGGTGCAGCTCTCTAGATCTTGCAGAAGTTAAGATACAGAGGGTTTTCTTTTCTTCTTCTCTATTCCTCATTTGGGCAGCTTGGCTATACATTGAAGTCTTAATTTATACTTCTATTTATATCACTACAGAGAAGCATTAGTCAGATTTTCAACTTAACCCATCACATGGGCAAAGGAAGCTATTGCCAATCCTGACCCAGATCACAGAAGGAAAGCTCTCTAAAAGGATTCTAATCAAAACTTTTGTGAGGCTTCTGGCTTGATGTGCCATCATTAATTTAATATCAAAGACAAAACCTATTCCCGGGAGATCTCTCCTCCCCACCAAAAAAAAAAGTTCATAATCTATAGGGGACCTGCACCAGACTGTCCTCTATAATAAAAGCTGTTTTAGTTATGCCTTTAACTTGAATGTAGGGGATGTATTGAGTCAGTCATCTTTCTTTCCAGGATTATATAACATAGCAAGCATAAACTGTAATAAAGTTTTGAATACAGTTTGTTCAAAACAGTGAATATGATATAAGAGTCACTCTTTGCATCTGGGCTTTCGACAATTAACAAAGAAACTTTGCAGGTTTCTCAGTTATTGAAACTGGGACCTGTCCTGCCTTATTGCCTTAGTGACATTAATAACGAGGAACCACTCATTCAATCTATTTGTCAAAGCATTTCAGGAAAGGATAGGATGGGAAATATGAGAGGAGATGAATGAAGAGTAAGGATAAGGGAAATTAAAACCGTAGATAAGGTTTTGTACTGTGGTAGAAAGCATCAGGAAAAGAGAGTAGATTCCTTTAGGAACTGAACATATTAAGATTTGAAATTATGCTTATAAAATCAGTGTTAAGGGAAAATTGCCTTGCATTATAGAGAAAGAGTCCTTTTCAGAGGGAAAAGGTTCATTTAGTAAGAAGTACCGTATTTTCTGGCGTATAAGATGACTTTCTAAAGCATGCAAATCGTCTCCGAAGTCGGGGGTCATCTTATACGCTGAGTCGTCTTATACGCCGGAAAATACGGTATTACACTCATGATGGCTGCAGTTTGTTCAGTGTCTACATAAGGAATAAACATCAATTTTTCCTTTTGAAAACAATGTAAGTAAGCTTTGAAAAGAAGATTTTCAACTAAAATTAAAATGCAAATGAACAAAAGAATAGCTTATAATGAGTTATTTAAAAATATGATAGGAAGGAAGGAAGGAAGGAAGGAAAAAGAAAAAAAAGCTTGCAAACTTTGGCACTTGATTCTGCAGGCTATCATGCATTCTCTCACACTATGCACTTAGAATAGTTTGGCTTTTTTGGAGGGGGGGGAATACTGGCAAGTTGTTAAACAAAAAAGAAGGCACATCTGTACAAAACAAAAGATGAGTTGCTCTTCTCATGCTGAGTTTTCTCTATATTTGATTGCTTCCCAAAGGTTCCTCCAGCTCATTTATTATAAGCAAGTGAAGGAGTGGTTATCGTAAGACTATCGGTACTAGTTCTTCCAGATCTCTGATCCATATAACTACTAAGCATCATGCGCAATTCATATATAATCTACTCTGCATAGTCTTTAATTTAGCAAGCTAACAGTAAAAAGGAGGGAAACATGGCAAAGCACTTTCAAACACAGATGTCTGAGAGGCAAAGATCTCCTAGCGGAAGAGATGGGATGAGAGTCACTTAGTTCAAGTACAGTACAGTCACGTTGGATTGGGTGTCTCCACAAAAGCTGTCCAAAACCTTTCCAGTTCCTACCACAATGGTTCTACAAGGCAAAATCCAGAGTCAACTCTCATTTTAAGGCCAAAAAGACTTCTTCGGCAACATTAGTGGGAGCAGAGTTAAGACGCAGCATATTTTTAAACCCAGGCTCAGAAGGAGGCTGCTTTGTATAGTTACTTCTACCCTGAATGAGAACCTTTGCTAACTGACATGGCTCTCCTCTCTACTGAATTCCATTTTGTCATTAAAAGATACTGTTTTCTGGAGAGACAGTAGCACGGTAAGAATAATCACCTACCTGAAGAACCAGTCACACAAAATGCATTCATTCAAGCCTCCGACACCAGAGACTTACAATTAACTGCACTTATAATTCAACTTGTGCATCGGAACCGTATCAATTTATGAAATGCTTGTTTGAAGTCTTCATTGGACATAGTGTAGATGATCGGGTTGATCAGAGAGTTAAGATATCCCAGCCACGTGAAAAAGTCAAAGATGGCCATGTGGAACCAGCAAGCATCTTTACAAATAGGCAACACTAAACTAATGATAAAGAAGGGTAGCCAACAGACAATGAAGGCTCCTAAAATAACCCCTAAAGTCTTGGTTGCTTTCCGCTCTCTGGCAGCCATCAGCTTCTTTTTTTCCAGAAAAGCATCTGATACCTTCACTTTGACCTGGTTCGTATATACAGGAGACCCCATTTCACTGGATGCTTCTGAGACCTTGCAATTTATAGAAGTGACAGAGGATGTTGACCCTGGGGAATCTGTTATTAAGTGAGCCCGAGTTAATCTTTTGCCGGTGTTCTTTGGCGTCTGTTTCAAAATCCGAGATCTGGCCTCCACATAGATCCTTCCATAAAGGATAATCAGCAGCAAGGTAGGAAAATAGAAAGCCCCCACTGTGGAATAGATGGTATATAAGATGTGATCTGAATTCACCATACAGTTAGACATCTCTTCAGCTTTAGACTGCTGCCAGAAGAAAGGAGGGATGGAGATGGAGATAGAGAAGACCCACACCAGGGCGATCATGCCTGCTGCTCTCTTGGGAGTCCTTTTACTAGAATACTCAACTGCATCTGTGATGGCCCAGTATCTGTCCAGGGCAATCACACATAAATGGAGGATGGAAGCAGTGCAACAAGTGATGTCTGAAGACAGCCAAATGTCACACACAATCTGGCCCAGGGTCCATTTCCCAGTCACAGTGTACATGGTGCTGATAGGCATGACCAGGAGGGATACCAGAAGGTCAGTGACTGCCAAAGAAGCTATGAGATAATTGGCCGGGGTGTGGAGCTTACGACTCTGGTAGACGGTGGCAATGACAAAACCATTGGACAATATTGTGGCCAAGGTGATGAGAGCCAAGATGATGGTGAGAACAACCTTCCAGGAGAACGGGGTGCCATCTTGGTAGATGGAGCTTTCTTCAGGACTGCAATTCCTGGCCTGGTCAGAGTCATTGGCGTGGAAGGCGTTTAGGCCTGTGGTGGCTTGGCAGAGCCTAGCTTGATCCATGCCTACCAAGTTGGCGGGAACTTGGGCTAGGGGGGGTGGCGCCTCCAGGCTCAGCAATCCGAGGAGGGCAGCGCCATCTCCTCGCGCCACGCCTGAAGAGAATCCCGCCCGTGGAATGAGGGCCCGCGAGCCGCCTCGGTGGCGGGGACTGGAAGAGAGAGCACGTGCGCCCGGCTCTTCCAATGGAGACGCCTCCCGCTCGCCGGGCGGACCATGGCTCGCGCCGCCGCCGCTGCCGCCGCGTTCTCCCCCCTTTGCAAAAGCCAAGCCGACGACGCCTGAGCACGTGGCGGTTGCCAAGCGAGGACGTCTCTGCCAGCGGCAGCCGCTTCAGCGGTCCAGACGAAGGAACATCTCCCCACCCTTCAGAAAAAAACCCGCGGAGGTACGAAGTTCGTCGCGACGGAGGCAGCGGCGGCCAGGAGAGGAGCGGCGAGTTTCCTTTTCCTTAGCGGAGGTGGCCGCTACGATCCCTGGGCGAGACGGAGCAGCGAAGAGACCGGGAGAGGGCTAGCTGGCGGCGTAGTTGGCACCGTTGACCGGGCGTGACTGGGTGTCTTCTCTCTCGTAGAAGCGCGGGACGCACAGTTGCCCCCCATGGTACCAATTCAACAACTTTTGCAGCAGCCGGCGGGCGGGCGGCTGGAAGGTAGGCAGCACAGGGAACTCTCGAAGTAAGGGTCTCTCCCAGGGCGGAGCTCAAAAGTCCAGCGGATGCAGACTTCTCCGGCAGAGGCGGCCGGCGCCTCAGGAATAGAAAGCGCGCCGTCCCTGTTTCTGCTTTGCTCCCTCCTTTCTCTCTCTCTCTCGCTACAATATATATATACTGGCCCGCCCGCTCAGACTGCGCTCCTTTCTGCGCGAGCTTAACAAGGCAACTCGTGGTCTTTCTCCCGGAGCTCCGGCTCCCGGCCCCTCGCCACCGCCCCGCCTCAGTCTGCCCCGAGAGGATTCCGCCGGGTCCTAATACCGACCCTTCATTTGCCCCCAACCTATTAGGAGCCTGAATGTATCCTTTCGCCAACCTCGCTGACTGTCGGTGGAGATTCTACACTGAGTTGAGCCGAGCTTATTCTCTCTTTAAAATGCAGTGATGATTATAATAGCAGTATAACAACATCGACGGCAACTCGCACTTGTGGTGTGGGCACTTAAAACGGAACGGCGTCGAACGCAAACTAGGGGCTTTCAAAATACCAACCGAAACCGAATTAAGAGAAGTGGTGAAAACATCAAACCCAAAACTCGGATTCGCTTTTTCTACATTGATGTATGGACAGCTCAGTCAATGTAGTTCTCCAGCTGTTGTCCTTAGTGGGCGATAAATCATATTTTAGACGCAAGAATATCCCGCATGGCTGAGAGAGATCCAACCAAGAGAGTTTCTCAACTCCCGCATGTGGTTTTGGAAATCTCTTTCTGGCCTTTAGTAGAACTAGGAAATGGAACTAGAGGGGTCTAACTTGGTGTTTTCTTACTCACTTACGCAGCTTTATTCCATGTTCTTAACTTTCCATCTAACCTAAGTGTCATTGTGCCATTGTGTGCTGATTTTCGGCTTTGGCTGCAATCTTAAAGAGACACTTTCCTGTGCATAAACTTTGGGGAAGCCCGTGGAGATTTACTTCGGAAAGTTGTTCTAAAATTGCACTATTTCTTCAATTGGTTGGAATAGGTTCAAAATCGGCGAAATCTTTGCTTTTAATTGTGACTCTGCTCAGGAGTTGTTCTCTTCTTGACCAGTGACTTTTTTGGGGGAGGGGGGAGAATTCTGGGAAAGACAATTCGGTTTTCTCCTACTTGAAACCGCTTCGTCCTTTCGCAGCATTTCACCGCGGAGGATTCAGGCTCCGGCTGACTGCAAATACGGGCGTGTAGCTTCTTGCACCAGCGCCTCCACAGGGGCGCCATAAGAGATCTGCAGCCCTGCGCAAAGGTCGTCGGATTCAGTTTCCAGTGTGGGGTTCGGTAAGCACGGGGTGCCCAGAGCGGATCGATGGGGCCACAGAGACGCCTAGCAACGCCCAATAAAGCTGATAGAATTTGCTCTGATACAGGGCTCAGGGATAGACGGCGCTCCCCTTCCTTCTCGGGCGGGGGGGGGGGGAAGGAAGGCAAATCTGAGAGCTTAGAGGGACTTAATGCTAAGCAAACCTGCTTACTGGGCTCTGCCTGCCTGTTTTTTAAATCTCAATCCATCCTGGCGCTTCGCCGTGTTGCCGCCCTGTACAGCCTGCTTTAGCTGTGAACCTTCTCGCCTTGTTATTAATTAGTAACCGTCTGTTTAAGAGTGGTTTTCATTTATTTTTGTTATTTATGGGGTGCCTCTCGGTTCCAAAGTCGTACGAGACAACTTGCTATCGTCGTCGTCGTCTCTGTTTATAAACCGATCGTACGAAGTCGCGGTCGGACTGGGCTGATGGGGTTATCTGTCGCCAGATGAACGCGCCCCGAAGTCGATGGTGAACAACTGAGGTCCTCTCGGGGAGGGTATTGGGTGGCGGAGAACCGGACTTTCCTCGAAGCTCTTTGAACTCGCGCGCAGACACTGTCGCTTCTCTCGAGGGCCGCGCTTAGATTCGGTCTGAAGGCATCTTTTCCCGAAATAAGCGAAATAAGGACCGAAGCCGATCGGAGCTGTTGGTGGGCAGCTCGTTCTCGCGGTGCCGCGCCTAGTTGAAGTAGCCGGATGACTTTATCCTCGCTCTCTTATAAACAACCCGGCGTTTGGGTTTTGCTCCTGATGCAGATGGGAAATCACACAGCGTGACGTGCTACCTAGTCTCTCCTTGGTCTCCACTAGCCGGCGTATAATCTCGGCGAGCGAGGAAAACGTCCGGGCGTTCTGCGTGTAAAGCTTGGCGCCTTAATGATCCAAAGCTGGGTTTTATCCTAGATTATTATATAATCTTCTCCAACGCGATCGTCAAAGCGCTTATTGTTGAGCGTTTCAGAAAGATACGTTAGTACCCCAATCCCGAAGCGCGCTTACACGGGAGTAAGCAACTCCATCGAGATCTGCAGCGTAGGCTCCCAAGAGGGGGCGCTTCCATTGTAAGTCTAGGCTGTCCTGTTTTCCTTAAGTGGAGCCAAGTCCTTAAAGTGCGTCGGATACATAGAGGTTCATAAGCCTTCCATGGATCGGATCATTAAATTGGATCTGGGTTTGGAATAACTTCCGCCTCTCTTTTCTTACCCAATTTCCTTGTGGGGAAGAGAAAGCGATCCTGTCTTAAATTAATACCCCCAGCCTTCTTCTCTAGCCAATCTCCATCCCATTATCTGCATAATGAAAGCAACAGGTATAGAGAAAGCATTCAACGGAGTACCAGTCCCCAAAGGTGGTGGTTATGTTTGGTTGAATCTTAGGCAACTCCTGGTGACTCACCCAAAAGAACCAAATCCCAAATGTCCCTAAAACTCTTTACGGTCAGAATAAGAAAGTGATATCCATTACACAGTGTTGGCAGAAGAGGTGGACAAATCCTTTCCTATCAGTTGAATCATTAGGATAATGTGCACCCACAACTGGGAGTTATCCCACCAGTGTTCTTGGAGAACTGTGAATGCAAACATTGATCCGGTGTTTTCATGTGTTTTCAACTGTGCTCTTAAACCAGCAAGTGCTCTGAGAAAGGTAGAGGAATGACTAACAGAAGTTTGAGGGGCTTGTTTCGGAAACATTGGCAGTGTTTTTTTCTTTAGGTCAGTGTTTCTCAACCTTGACAATTTTAAGGCATGTGGACTTCAACTCCCAGAATTCCACAGCCAGCATTGCTGGCTGTGGAATTCTGGGAGTTGAAGTCCACATGCCTTAAAATTGTCAAGGTTGAGAAACACTGCTTTAGGTGGTCCAGAGAATTTTACTGACAGCCAGAGCAGCCAGGTAACATACAGGATATTTGAGATTTCCCCAGCTGCTGTTCGTCTGCCTTTGAACTGTGGTTGCCAACTCTTAGCATGAAAGCTCAGCTTTCTTTAAGGTCACTTCTAGCCTTCAGCCTTGTCCTCATGCAGAGTCTTCCATTCTGAAACCTGCTTGAAGAAGGGTGCTTGTTTGTGCAATGGAAGAATCTTTAGTTCATGGTGACTGAAACATGGACTGAAACATTTAGGTCAGAGTAAGGGGGAATTTCCAGGGGTTCCTCTATAATTATGGTGCTAATGCAGAAGTTCCTGCTCTTGTATCATCTAGATCAGGGCTGTCAAACTGCTGGCCAGTGGGCCGGTTTCATCATACCGAAGACGCGCCCACCCCATTGCTGGCAATGCAAAAAGAGTCAGGATATGTCATGTGACATGGCAAGTCTGACACCTGTGATCTAGATGGAGTGGCTGAATTAATCAATGCAAATGTCTTTGTCAACATTTAGCCTAAATGCATGAAGACTCATGAGCCACCTAAATCAATACAATCTCAATGTTGTGCATGGAAATAGATTCTGTTTTAAATAACTGGCTTAAAATACACCTATTACTTCAGTAGATTTCTAAATGCATTGTTGTACTGTAGAAATGAAGCATTGTGTTTCCAGTGAAACTGAATTGCTAGCTAGCATCACCAAGTGAAAATTGCCTTCACTATATTTAATCACTGAGAAGTTAATTCAAATGTAATATATTAAAACATTTTAAAAGTTTACTTACTATCAGAACCAAAGTTTTACTGCAAGCTAGTCTTAAGGTCACAATGGACAAAACTGTTTTGAGGTAGGTGTCCCTTGAAACTTAGCAATTCAGATTTGAGGTAAGAATAATAGCCCAAGTGAAGATAATGGAATAAGAAGTGACATGACCTGATTTAGATCAGGACCAAAAATATAGAAAGGATCACCATCCACATCAATGCTTTTCCCTGGGAAATTGGAGGACTTGGCTGTTAATAAAGACACTAATCTCCTTCTAGAGTCATAGAAAACATTGAGAAAAGTTTGAACATTTAAAAGAAAACTGCAAATCTTTGTTGAGATTGGATTGCATTTATCCTTATTGAGTTAGGAAGCCTATTAGTTAGGAAATCTATTA